TTTGGTGTCGGTTCCGGTTCCGGTGTTCAAAAATGAAAAAACCGGTTTCGATCCCTGCTACTAGTATAAGGTCTATGATATGTTGTAAATGATGGCAATAAATACCCTTAAAAAAAAGAACGAGCAAAATAATAATAATTTTTTATATGCAATTTAAGTGAATTAGGACGGTATAATACTTCTAGAGCAACTCCCTAAAATGGCATTGATAAACATATTAACAATTGTGTAGTAAAAAATGTAATTTATTATATTCATTAACTGTAAAAAAATATTTAAAATACCAATATTATGCAAGTTAAAAAAATTTTCAACTCACTTTTAAAACATCATTCATATTTTCCAGCAACTCATAAATGGTTTTGAACCCCAAGTGCTGATATGGTAAATTAAAATCTTCAAAATATAAGTAATCATTTAATAGTTGCAAGATTGTCAATTTACTTGGAGAGCTAGTTAAAATACTCCGTATAACCATCTTTAAATTCTTCAAATCTGGTTGTTCCATGGTGAATAAATAAAATGCCTGCAAAATAATTAAGATATATAATATATTAGTTTTCTGATTTTCATCTCAAAATCAAACAATATTTTTATACTCACCCATTTAAGAGGATGCCACACTCGCATGCACTATCTTTATCTTACAAATGTTAAACATAGCAAAACATGTTTTGTGTGGAACAACTTTTCTACATTAGTATTTATAATAGAATTATCAGAATTATTCTATAATGCAAATGTAAGAACTTTATCTGTTATCTATATTGTAGCATCGTTTTTTATTTTATTTATTATTAAAAATTATTGTTTTGTGCCATCAAAAATATAACGAAGCTGAGACACAGTTAAAGTTCTAACCTAAGTGCTGTGGAATTATGATAATTCTACTATAAATATTGAGGGAGAAAAGTTGTACCATACAAGAAAATTTTCACAGTGTTCTAGATTTGTAAGACAAGGACAATGCATGCGGGTGTGACATCTTCTTAAGTTATTATTAAATTAAAAATATTTATTACATTAGCATAGTTATTTATGGATAATTAATTTTATATATACATTTTTAAACATTTAATTTAGTTTCATTAATTTTTGTCTTTACTATTAAATTATTTTAGGTCAAAAATTAGTAAACAAAACACAAAAACAGTGAAATCACATTTTTTAATATGGACCATTTAGCAACTTTTTCAATGTACTCAATTGTACATATTTATTTTTTGATGTTTGTTTTAGTCAATTAAGTACTACCCAATAAAATTACTTTTAATTTATTTAATATTTAGTGTTGAACATCGTTAAACTTGTTATGTTCTTCAAGAGGTCTCCATAAAATAAAATAATCAAATTATGATTAACTTGTAATTATTATTTTTTTAAATTAAATAAAAACCCTAAACATTTGAAATCATTTACTCTGAATAGCTAACACAACAATGTCAATGCATACAAAACTTACTCATCACTATTGTTTATCAATCAGAACAAGTATTTTAATAATATTTACTTGGCAATATTGTTACTTATTTTGCAGTAATTTCACAATAGATTTGATAATATTATAAAAATTTTAAAAAGTAATTGAAATAGGTAGTTGACTCAAAGTACTGTGTAACTCACACATTTAATACTCAAAAAATATTTTATTAGAAACACATTTTATTGATGCCAATAAAGTACAAGTTTAATAATTACCTATATTCAAAATATTTAGATAATAGTCTGACATTTAAATTTTAAATTATTAAGTAATATTATTTCAATTTTTAGAAGTAACAGCTATCAAATTTAGATATTAATCGCCATCAGCTAATAATAATATTTGTGATTTAAGAAGAGATGATAAAAATAGCTTATTTTATCAATTATATAATTAAATCATTTTTTAAACTTATAAAAATGAAATATATTTTTCTTAAACATTTCACAGCATTGGATAGAATCTTTAATGATACCTCCTACACTTCTAAAAATGTACATCAAACTTATTGGTCACCTGGCATTCAGTATGTAAATCAAAGAATATTGGATATGTTCTTGTAGTTTAACAGTTTTTACTGATTTTAATCAAAGGGATATGCTTTTGAACCTGCAAACGCTGAACTTTATACCTATTAAAATACAATACTATTGAATTGTCAAATTGTATTATTATTAAAAGCTTTTTATGTCATTACAGTACTTAAGTGATTCAATTTTGTTAATTGTACCTCCCACAAAAATATACAATCAACGAGAAAACAATTAAGAGGATAAAAAACATTAACTACTTTCAGTTTATTGGAATAATTGTTTTTATAATATAAATATTCCCTGGGTGTATTGTTGGCATACAATGGGGTAACCGTAACACAGTAAAATATATTATTTCATAATAATGGGGTAGAAATTTATACGAGTATTTATTACTTTTCATAAATTATTTTTATTCTATTTTTGGATACTACATATTTTTTGTGACGTTATTGAAGATAAACATAAGTATAAAACTAATACGATATATAATATATAAATATATTTATAATTCTACTTATACGAGTCAGAGTTTTATCACTTCTATAGTTCAATAGTTGTTATACATACGGGCATACGACTATKTGACGAATGTTCCGGTATTAGTGAACTGTGTCTTGTGATAATAGTGTGTTAATTTTTATAGAGAATTAAATAAATAGCTTTTTAATATAAAAATTAAATTTATTTTATACAAAAATAATTATTTTTTATCTGAACTACATTTTCAAAGTTTATATAATTTTTTGAAAATTTTTAATACCAAGTATTGTAGTTTATATTAGTAATTAGTAATTACCTACCTATTTAACACACTATAGGTTTTTATTAATATAATTGTTTCATTAATTAATTAATTATAATTATAATTTTTTTTTTAGGAATGTACTTTTTTTTCTGAGTACTGATAATTTTAATTATATTTGTAAGAAATGATAATTTCATTACAACTGATGTTGATTTTCAGAATTCTGTAGAAATAAATTTTCAAAGTGAAATAGAGCAAGATGATAACAATTTTGAAAATTAAGAAAATATGATGACCGATTGTGACAATTCTACTCGACCTTAAGCTATTTCACATTTTATTCGCCCATCTAGAACTGATAGTGTAGTAGTCAATAATCAGTTCTTTGATAGGCATCCCATTCAACTATGTATTCAGTCAGGTAAAGGGAAACTTGATTTTAAGAGAATATATTTAAAAATATTACCTAACAATGAAACTTTTCAAAGAAAATGGATATCATACTGAGACTTGTTGTTTGTACTGTTCTGCTTGGAAGTCTAAAAGTACTTAGTGAAACGGAATCAAACTTTATCATTGGATATGAAGCTTATATTAAGTTAAACAAAAGCCTATACCAGGATATAGAAAGATATTAAAATTCTACAACTCATGAAGAATCAATTTTGACAGCTATTCATTTCAAACTTAATAATGATATTGAAAATGTTATCAACCGAGATCTCATGACAAAACAAGCATTGGAGGTTGAAAATCTAAGAAAAATTTTGGAAGGATTAATTGATATTATTATACTCATTGGTCAAACACATATTCCCTTCAAAGGAAAATTTGAGGGAGCTTATTTTCTAAATAATGATAAACAATACCATGGACATTTTTTGGAACTTGTGATACTGATCTTATAATATGATAACATATTCCAACAACATTTAAATAAAGGTTTAAATACATTTATAAAACTCAGTGAAAAAAATAAATCTAAGAAAGTTCGTAGATCTGTGATTACATTATTATCCAAACATTTCATTAATGATGATAACGTAATAGTATCAATAAGACAAGCAATTCAAAACATCAGTGTGAAAAAAATAAAAGAATGTCAAAAGATCAGCATAATTATTGATTCAACACAGGATGTTAGTGTGATAGTTCAACTTACTATTTGAGTGCGGTATGTTTATGGAGGAAAAGTTTATGAAAGATTATTTAGTTTAATTGATCGCCATGATTCCAGTAGTTAAGCTCTTTTTGAATTGTTAAAAAAATAATTAAAAAGGGTAGGCCTTTCATTAAATTATATTGTGGGTTGCTCATTAATTGATGATGTTTCAAACATGAAAGGCATTTATAATGGATTATATTCAGCACATTTATAACCTTAAAATGGTTTATACTCATTGTATGGGACATGTGTTAAACCTTATTATGTCTGAAAGTACAATACATTTTATTCTTGCTGAAGATTTATTTGGACTTAAAGATTCATGATCAGTTTTTCTTTCAGATTCTCATAAAATTTCAGCTTGGATGGCTATAACTAAAGTTAAACATTTTGTTCATAATAACCTCTATCGTTTTTCAAAAAATAGGAGCTACTTGTTGGTAGAGCAAGGACAAAGCTCTATCATCTATATTAGATATAAACTTAGTTGAAGATAATAATAATAAGATGAATCTAGAAATCAAAGTCTATATGAGAAATTCAAATCAGATGCATTTGCTCTTTTAGAAACTATATTTAATTAGCATAGAATCAAGATTTGTAGTAAATGAAAGCAGTGGCATGCAGAACATTTTTCAGACGAGAAGACATTCAGTGGAAAACTATACAATTAGACACCCACCCTACAACCATCAGGTTTTTCGCTATTTTTTTTTAAGTTGCACCAGTGTGCCCAGTTGTACACTAAGTAACCCACCCATTTTACTCCAATAATGCTAATGAATGTCAAGAAAGATATAGAGATTGATAAAGAACATATTAWTAATTGCATTGCTGGTTCATCCGATACATTAAAAAAGTTAGGTACTTTAGTTATGAATAAACAAATTTATATTGGTAGAATGATAAAATGTGTTGAATAATTATTTATTTGTTGTTGTTATAAAATTAATCAAGTCTGTAAATTAGTATAATATAATTGTTTAAATGAATGGGTTTAATTTAATACCTWATGAAGGGCATGTGATAGAAACTTGTAGAAAATATGTCTATTTTTTTTAGTGAAAAGAATTAATATTATGTACACATTTATTATAATAGCATCAAAATAGTTTAATTTTAAATATATATTTTCTATATGTTATGTTTGAAGTCAAGTAAGTATAGGTATATTCAATAATAATACATTAATTAATATGTTAAAAAAGTATTCATGTACATATTTTGTATGTGATTATGATACCACAAAACTTCAACCCAATCATAGGTAAATTTTGATGAAAAATTGAGGCCTTAAAATAAATCTCTTCTTAGGCCTTTCATATCCCGGGCCGACACTGTGACATACAGTGTTTAAAATATAAAGATTTTGATATTTATTTAGGTTATATTGTTATCAAATATAAAAAGATACCTATAGGGCTATAGCTAGAATACGCGAGCAATACGATTAGCTTTAAATATGACTTAATTTGTCATTACGATTATTGGACAAATAAAAGTTTTGCGCATGCAGAAATTCAATGGTATTACGCCAATGTAACAAATGTTTAGTTAAAAAAAATGTGAGAAAAAAATGTCTGACATTAATTGATAAGCTATTGAATATTGAATATCAGATAGGTAATGAATTGAATGATATACAAGTATCGTACAAATATCAAACCTGACATTAATCAATAAACTAGTATTATATAATGTTGCACCCTTGCACCTATTTGAATATTCCAACATAATATCTAATAACATATTGAATGCATTAAACATAATATCGGTGCATCCATTTTGTCTTCATTGTAATAATCATTTTGATCTGGTACAAATGACAAAATGTTGAATTCGGTTAAAAATGACAACACGCAACGAACGTCGTGCTCAGTGAACATTCTACGAAAATACTTAATATATAGTCACAAGCTTAAAATAATACTTACGGGATGTAAGCTGCGACCATTGAGTAATTAAACTATGGCTAGTATGGCTGCGACACGGGTATGGGGTCTTCAATACACACCGTGATAACACGAGTGTGAAGTTGGGGGATGATATCAGTTCTCCTACAACCAATAAGAATTGACTACATCAGTATGGCCAACTGTTATAAACCAAAATCTGAATATAATTTAGGTTGGAATTAGGTGCGACTATAAAATAAATATTGTCTGATTTATTTTAACTTTTTTAAGGTGATTTTGTTGTTTTTTTCATTTAATTGTTTCTATACATATTTAGATATGATGTATATATTATATTTTATAGTATGAACATAGTTTTTGACATTGGTTATTTATTAATTATTTTATTGGGGAACTAGAAAACAAATATAATTTTATTCAATGAAAATGTATATACAGATATTATATAGAGCGTATACAGTGTAATAATGAACATTGATTTAGCTGCATGTTAACCGACGACGTCATACGATTCCGATTTACATATACGGACTTGCAGATTATTATCATAACGATTGTTACGATTGATATTGTTAAATTCATTTTTCGCGTTTTCTTAATAGCGATATTAGCTAACTCCGCCGGCCAGCGTGCCGAGTGCGGAAAGCCCCGCTAATATAGCCATATAGGTATTAATGTTAGAGAGCCACCTGTTTTAGGAACTCTGATGATGAGAGGTAGTTTATTTTTATTTATTTTCGAACGCCCGCCCGCCGTAGCCTTCACGTGTTCGCGCGCGACGCAAACAGTCGATTTAATTAATCTACTCATATTCGATGTTCTGGGACACGATTTCAGCGATTTTTTCAACGCTTGTTTATACACACCGACAATATTGGAAATTTCGCATCCGGCGCCGATCTTGCGTTTCCTGCGGCTTTTTCTTTATAATCCGCGTCTTTTGCCCCTACTCTGCTCCAAGCACGTTCTTCCAATATACTGTCGGTCACGCCGCGGTCGGATAAAGAATCACTTTTATCGTAGGCTATATCGTGCTCCCTACACGCCGAATCCAATCCGTTTATTCCTGGTTAACCGAGAGGGAGTCTTTTTTAGATTCTGAGCGGAGCGATGCATGTATTGATTTTACCATAATGTGTGTTTTTATTTTTTTAAATTAGTTCCCGGCCCGCAGTACTGATAGCCGGGCAAATATAATTCAATCGGTAGACTATTTATTACGGTGTTCAGCAGACCTATACCACTATTGGTCTTGATCTTCGAACGCAGTAACATTATAATATGAGCACGCTGCTCGAACGTCACGGTCGTCACGCGTATTTATACAATGAGATTTCTCAACCAAGAAATGAAGCTCAAAGTCAACAATATCTATTCACTATCATTATGCGATACAACGCGTCCGCCTCGCCATGAGCCCCTATTCCCCAACGCGATGAGAGCGCTGATCGTTGGCCCGTTGGGTAACGGGAAAACGAACCTTATTTTCACTTTATTAGTACGCGCGAACGGAATTAAATTCAAAAACGTGTATATTTATTCTAAAACACTGGATCAAGCTAAATATGTATTGCTCGATAAGATTTTGAGCGATGTCCCGGGCGTTAAATTATTATTTAAATTCAGCGAGACAGCGATAATGAGAAGTCGATAATGAGAATAATCGTAAGTCACGATTTTTTTTAATAAGCGTTTATAGTTCAAAATTTTACGAAATCTGTCRAAAACGCGAAARTTTGYAAGTAATTTTGAAGTTGAAAAATCATAAAATTTTTTGCGTTTATAACTAAGGATTAAAAATACAACACTAAGTTTTCGATAAGTTTTCCTTCAAGTAGCTATAGAGAAAACTCGAA